ATTACATTTCAAATTTGGGGGGCTAGGGTTTCACCTGTTTGCACAGGATAATGGTTTCTCAGGCAGCCCACTATCACGGACTCAAAAGCCTTCTGAATTTAGAAATGAATTTTCAGATGTCAAATTTCAGGCTTTTGGTAACAGACTCCTCTGTTGGTGTACATCTTACGAAATCAAATCATTTCTAATCTCACTTTACCGAAGTCCCCTTCATGAAGTTTAATAGATCAGACATTGATTTCTGAGGCATGTCAATAGCCCAGAGATGATAGGAAATTCAACCACTGGACCCGGACTCAAGTTTTCACCATATAGTTGTTTATCTCCAAAAGCCTGAAGTAGGCTTACACTTCTTTTTTATCATCAGATTGAGAACAAAGTCAGGATGGCTGCAAGAGATAGCCAACACACCCTGGAGTTGAAATACCAGTATACAGCTCATCTTTCAGGAACATTTTAGCAAGATACCCCTTCAAGAAGGATTTGGCCCTAAATCAGGTGGACGTGCTAACCTATCTCTGAAATTAGTTTTGCATTTAAATTCAATACTCAAATTATTTGTGATTTAAAAATTAAGTTAAAATCTAAGCATGGAGTTGGAAGTAAACTCCAATGCTGACTTATGTCCCAAAGCCAATTTATTTATGTATGTTGGATTTATGGGCTCCAGAACATGTGGAAATTCCAAGGTGACTGATTTGACCCATAGATACAGAGAACAGATTGATGGTTGCCAGAGGGAAGGGGAATGGAGGACTGAGTGAAAAAAAAGTGAAAAGACTAAGAAGTAAAGATTGGTAGTTATAAAATACTCATGGGGATGTAAAGTACAGCATAGGGAATAGAGTCAATAATATTCTAATATGTATGTATGGTGTCAGTTAGATACTTGAAATTTCAGGGGGAACACTTTGTAAAGTTCATGACTGTCCACCTATGCTGTATACCTAAAACAAATAAAATAATGTAAACAGCAATTGAAAAAAAATTTTTTTAAATTATTTTAAAGAAGATGTGTGATCTACACAACTCCTTGGGGGGACTTCAGTAAAGTGGGATTAGGAATGATTTGATTTCATAAGCTGTACACAGGCTGAGTAGTCAATCTTTTGCCAAAAGACTGAAGAATAAGGACTATTCTCACTATATGCCGATGTGATTGAAGTTTGTGTTCTTTGGCTAATGTCAGGGAGCTTTTGGTTCTGTAGGCAGTGAACTCATTTGACCCGATGTCTCAGTATATTAAAGCAGTTGGTAAACCCCGGGGGAAAAAGTAAACCTACAGCCATCTGTTTATTGTGCTCTTTATCTAAAGCTATTCAGAGCCCTCAGGCTTTTTTTCAAAATCAATAACAAAAAAATAAAATAATTTGTGAAAACTCTTCAGCATTTTAGAATGCTTTTATTCTTGCATTAAAGAGAATTGGAAGAAGCACCAAATGAAAGCCAACTTATCCAAAACTGCTTATCCATCATCTGGAATTTCTCATCTCCTTGTTTCTACCAATGTTGCCTGTCTTTTGAGCCATCTGATTGCCTGTTAAGATCAGCAAGTTGACTAATCAAAGTAGAAACAGGGAAGCTCAAATAATTTCATTGTGTCCTTCTTACTGGCTTTATTTTGACTTCAGCAAAAAGTTATTGGATGGAGTGCAGAAGGGAGTGATTAAGAGTGTAGGCTAAAATAAAGAAATAATATTTTGAAATTATCTGTGACTCAGAACATCATCCATGTTGTCTGAATAACTGATGCCCTGTTCAACATGGCTAAGTTTTCTGGATGATAATCAAAACCATGTTAGGTCTGTTTTTTAAAAAACTCTATATAATTTTCCTTGACTTTAACATTGATAAAGATTAATAAATAATTTGTACCTTTCATGGTATATGATTTATCTAATCTTAGGCATCTATCTATCTATCTATCTATCTATCTATCTATCTATCTATCTATCTATCTCCCATTCATCTATCCATCCTCTGTGAGGCTATATTTCACAGTACTTAAAAACTTGGTGTTTAGAGGCAGCAAATCTAAATCCGATTCCTACTCCTCTCATTTACTAATTGTGTGACCTTGAACAAGTTACTCAACCTCTCTGATACCAGTTTTCTTCCTCTCTTTGATGGGGATGATAAGAAATATCTACCACTTTGGGTGGCTTTGAGTATTAAATAAAATAATGCATGTAAATGACTAAGCACAGAATCTAGCATATAATAAGTATTCAGTAAGTAGTAGCTACTGTTGTTTTTTATAATAAAGCTTCCAGATTCCAGACCTTCAAAAACATCAAGACAAAAGGATTTGAATTGAATGCCTTCAGCACTTATACTTCTTAGTTCATTTATAGAGGCCATGGAAAGACAGTGCTTACCTACATCATGGTCATCAAAATAGTGGAAAAGTACCCATCTATTCTTTCATAGAAAAGTCAATTGTGAAGGTCAAACATGAACAGTTACTGATAGGCACTGAGGGAAGGAAAGAGACCTTAGTAAACACAATAACAGACACAAGAGACATGTACAAAATGTTAAGATAGATGACATAGTGCAGGAGTAGGGAACGTCCACTATATAAGGCCCATGAAATCATTTGATCTGTCCCTGTCAAGGCATTTGGGGTGAATTAATTAAATATTTGACCAAATACGGCAGGCTAATTTTTATGTTAGGTCATTTTTATGGCCTTTGAATGATGTTACAAATATCCAAATAGCCCTTGGCAGAAAAAAGGTTCCTCACCCCATCTATTTAGTTCATGGTAACAAGTTAGTGTAACAGAAATAATTGAAATATATACCTTTCAGTAGAAAATACATTTCAGGATAATCGAAGAGCACCATTTGAGAAGACCTTTTACTTCACAGAAGAATGCCAGTGTAGACCAACTGACAGAAATAGACAATCTTTCTTTCACAAATGCTAATGGAACTACTAAATTAAGCAATCATTATCCATTGAAACGAAAGCTATAAGTAAAGAGTTGATGAGGAACTGAAGATCCCTCAGTGATGCCACGATGATGGCTTTTGGTGGCAGGAGAAAGAATACGACTTTATAATGGAAAGTGTCTGTGTCCTATACTGGGATGAACACTGCCTTCACCAATGATGGGCAAACCAGTGCACGACATCAGTTCTGCATTCTACTCAGAGGGCCTATCTCAGAAGAAGGAGTTAAACAGTTTGTTCACAGGAAGCCCTAACCCTGGTAAGCACACACTTAATTAGACATCCGGTGTTCTGATGTCCCAAATAGCAAGACTTTCTATAGGATAAACAGATATGTGACAGGTAAAGATCAGGGCATGGGAACAGGAGAAAAATAAAAGTAAGAGGGGTGAGAAATGATGAGAGATGGAAGATTTCCTCATAAAAATATACCTTCATAATGGAGGATTTATTCATTAGAAAGGGCAAGAAGAGACATCACAAAGACAGTTATAGGAGAATGAGGGTGGAGGGGTAAATACACAGAGAGGAGAAAACACAATGAACAGGAACAGAGAACAAGGGACAAAACACAACAACAACCTCGGGAGATGGATTTGATTTGAAATGGCAGAGGAAACAGAAGGACAGAGGGGGCAGGAAGTAAAGAAAGACAGCTGGTCAAAGGTTGAGGGGGCAGAATTTGGAACAAACAAGGGCTGAATGTATCTTTTTCATGTCTGTACTCAGAAACTTTTAAGGTAGGAGCTCAAGAGAGAGCAAAAGAGGGAGGAAGAGAAGAGGAGAACGAGAAAGATGGATGAAGAGGGAAAGTAGGCAGTTAGATGGCAGAAAAGAAAGACTATAGGAAGAGTGACATGAAGAAGGAAAAGGAAAATAAGGAATGGGTAAAGCACACATTTCAGAAGCACACAAGGGAGTTAATATAGATAAAATATGATTGACACATTCAGTGCTCATGAGCATTCTCCATTTCAGAATTCTGTAATTCAATTTTACTTTAAGAATACCAGAACTATTTTGACCAGGCAACATTCATTACATGAATCATAACTTATCTTATACAAATGCCTGGAACTAGGGTAAAAGCTTGACCAACTTTATAGAAAAAACAAAGCTGACTAACTCTTGGATCCCCTATGCACTACTGAGTGAGCCAATCAGCCTCCAGAGCTCCTTATTTTCTCCATTTCATCATATAAACTGACCTTAGGCAGCTGCATATTTTCCACTCATTCTTCTGTCTGCCCCGAACCAACACAAGAGGCAAATACTGGTTCATGTAATTAATGTAGACAGAAATCTGGCTAAATATCACCAAAAATCCATTTTTCAGTCGCCTGATTATCTAGATTGCTGACTGCATTGATTACATTAATCCAATGATGGCCAAATCTTTACTTTCTTTCTGTTAGGCCAGATTTCATCTAGAGAACTCACAAATCTCTCTAGGATGCAAATCTCTCCCAGGACACATGATTTTGATTGACAGCTCACAAAATAACTTTGGCATGCATGCAAAATTAGACTCACATGCAATTTTCATGCAGAGATAAACCTATCCATCAACATAATTTTGGCTCCAAGAAAGCAATCAAGGTTCTATGTCTGGAACCTGGGAACTAAGGAGTCTGATGCTTTAGAAGTCATAATCAAATGTATGTATTTGCAGTTCTTACTGTGTGTCAGTGTTTTCTAGCATATGAATGAGATTATAAATTTGTATTAGAAATTAATATTATAAGATTTCGAATTACAATGGCATTTGTGTTTGAGAATCACTGGTTAGCAATTTTGGGGAAGAGATGAGTTGGTGAACTCAGATTTCTAGATTCTTCAATTGATTTTTCAAACAGAAAATAGTAAAAGAAACACTTTCCCTAACTCTCATGCTAGTTCCTTATGAGTTGGTCACAAGTTTAATATCAATACTTCCTAACTTTTAGGTTTGAATCAGATACTCTGTACCAAGCACAGAGCGCAGAAGTTATCATTGCGGAGCCCCGCACATGAAAGTAAAGAGAAATCCTGGTGAATACTCACTATTTGGTAGAGTCAGATAATTGATATTCTCTTCGTCTATCATAGCATTCCTGGATTCCAGGATCATTCCATAAACTCTTTATTGCATCTACGTAGGGATTCTCAAAAGCAGACACCTTCTCCACATCAACCTCTCGAACTAATTGTGCATGAGCCTGTTTTAAAAAAAAAAAAAAAAAAAAAAAGCAGGTTTAGTCTCCTTTCCATCACTGAACATTGCCTTTGGTTCACATGTTACATTGAGCACAATGAGGTCTTCTTTTATATACTGGTTTTCAAACTGATTTATAATAAAATAATGCTGCTGCTTTTATTTTACTTTTTTCCCTGAGCAAGTCCAGTCCTAAATCTCTTCCTGTAGAGTAAAACTTGAGGCTCCTTAGAGATGACTAGAGGAAAGCAGGATCCCAACAGAACAATGAGGATGCCATGCGACACACAACTGGTTTTAGGTGATAATCATAATCCAAACGCAGGTAATATCATTAAAAGGAAAAAGGCAATTATCTCCTCTATAGTTTATTATAATCAAACACATAATACCCCAAGCCCATGGGTGTTACATCTGAGCAGAAACTCAACCAGACTCCTCAATTAATCAGGACTAGTTTCCCTAGTTTACAGAGTGTAAAACCATTAGAACAACAGTTAATAGCAATGATTTAATTTGAGAAATAAAAACCATTCTCTCTCCATCCCCACATACCCCAACTTCTAAAACATTTATTCTGAAACATTTATTTTATATCTGCTTTACCTACATTACCAGATTGAGGACCCTATTCAATTTTTCAATAAAGAAAAAGGACATTGTTATTTCATTATGCAACATTAAGCAGGAAATAGATAAGGAGATTTAAAAGATTTTTTCCATAAGATTGAAATAAAAATATTGTATGGTCACTCCCCGAATTAACAGGAATATACCACTGCTTAACAATCCCAATCAGAATATGTTTCATGGAAGTAATACATATGCAAATTATATAGACATAACTATTTAAATACACAAATAAAATAATTACCTTGGAAACTGAAGGCAGATGGCTGGTAATTTATTCAGTCTTAATTTTGTACAAAAATACAAACTTCTGAACTAGGTTAGTTAGTGGCTATCATGGGCACATGATGACCTAGTTATTAATTTCATAGAGATTTTAAGTAGACTGAACAGTAATAAATTTCAATCATGTCAGGTCCTATCTAGCTCCCAACCTTTACCTTCTTTTTCTGCCCATAAGAGAAAGGCCCCATGTCATTAGACTAATCTTGACTTTAATCAGGTTTTAAGAAGCCCAACATGGTAAGGACTGAAGAAACCACCTTTCTTGCTAGTTCTGCTCTGACCTTGATAGTCAAATCCAGTAATGGAGAAACCCAGTTCCACACAGGATGTCACTCTTGGATCCCTGTAGTTGCTTTCTGTACCTAGTCCCTATCCAGGCCATCTGCTTTGTTATCCCTCCAGCGGTCCTACCAGTCTGGAGTCCTGTTCCTGAGTCCCACTCCAGATGCACCCACCTCAATCGTAGTTCCTCACAAGATTAACTCTTTGAAAACAATCATCACCAGTGACCCAATGAACCCCCAATGCAGTGCTCCACATGGCTTTGGAGCACTTGTTTGTCTGTGCTAGACCCACCTTCTCTGCCTTCGGCCTGCTGAATTATACCTCCTCCAAACATCAAACACTGGATGTGGGGGCCTCCCCAATCCCTGCCCAATAGATATGTAAGAATGTTAAGTTTCAACCCTTGCTTTTCTGCCCTTGTTCACTGAATATAAGCTCTAACTACTTGTGTCCTGAGATATAATGATTACCCTTGCTATAATCCTAAATTAGACTCATCATCACTACATCTGCATTCCAGGGTTTTCTGGGGATTCAATGGATCTCAGAGGATCACTGGGGGAAGAAGCAGGGATATACAGAATGGTTTCCAACCGGATATACTCTCAAGATGGGGTTTTGAATCAGACTCTGCTTCTTCTTATAACCCCACTGTTATTCCTGGTGGGGAACATACTGCCCCACTAGCCTCAGATGGCTTTGTATTGTATTACAATACTGTAGGGTCAGTCCCCAAAGGGGATCCACACACCAGCAGCAGCACCTGGGAATGTGGTAGAAATGCAAATCCTTTTATCCCACCTCAAATCTTTTGAATTAGACATTTTAGGAAAGAGTGTTCATAAGGCTCAGAAGCCATAAAAATAAGTACAACAGGATAGATATATGTAATAGGAAGTGATGGGGACTGTGGTACATGGGGAAATACACATACTAATTAAAAAGGGCGGCTGCTATTTAACTCCAACCAGTTGCTGCCATTGAAAATGTAGGTTGACGGTTTCCAGATGTTCCACTTTTCCAAGGGAAGCGAAAATGTTCTGTGAAATATTTCTAATTTTAAATCTCAGCAAACCTAGGAAAGATAGAGCATATCTGTGCCCATTGGAGGCTACTCAATTGTAGCATTTGTTCTAAAAGATTCTTTCCTATTTGCTTCCCTAATAAGCTGGACCAATAACACAATGCCCTGCATAGAACCTAGAAAGTGGTAGCTGGCCACTGGTTAACACATGCTAACAAGTAAGGAATTTCCAGAACTTTCCTACAATAATATGATACTATCCATAGGGTTATGGCTGAGACCTCTCTCTGAATTGGCTAATAGCTACATGGTGACATAGGTTAGTGTAGGCCGAATTTAAAATGAATTTGATACTCACTACACTGGGCCAGTCATGCCATTTGGAAGGAGTTTTGTTTCTGTTTCTAGAGAGGTTAGCTTCTGCCAGAGAAAACAGTTTCAACATACCAGACACTTTTCACCATTATGATTAACTGTCTACTGGAACCCAGTGAGATGCTAGGTAATATATAGCATCAGGGAATTAGACGTAGTCCCCCTGGGGGGAACCATCCATATAGATGGCAACGAAACAAAGCATAGGATTATATGATCCAGGAGTTGGAGCAAGAGGGAATTCTTACATGTCCAGCCTTAATTTCAGTTGACTGTAAGGGTATTAACTAAAGACAACATTCTCAACAGTGTATTGTAACTTTCCACTGAGCACCAGCTCCTGCAAAGGAGACTACTTTCTCATGCCAGAAAACTCCTATAGTTTCCTATCGTGGCCCAGCTGGCTTGCTTTTTCTTACTTCTGCAATGTCTTCCCTCTTCCTTTCTGTACTTTCTTTAGCTTTTGTTCTGGGGCTATGTCACATGCCATCTCTCTGATACTTCTCTTCTCCACCCAAAATGTGGTCTTTGCGCCCTTTGAACAATGGGACTTGTACATATTACTTTGTGTGAATTATTAACGGCTTGCCTTATCCCTGTTGTAGACTATTATGTTGAAGAAAGGGGCTGTAGCTTTATGACCCTAATTTCTTTTGGGACCCAACACAGAAAAATGAGCACACAAATATTTGTCTCACTTCATAGCATTTAAAGATGCATATAAATACAATGCCAAGTCCTACAATTTCTGTCCATTACCTAGTCTCACAGCACTACATAATCCTTAACGTAGCTGGCATACAAGTACTGTATTTCCGGCGTATAAGACGACTTTTGAAATGAAAAAAAAAAAGGCAACTGAAAATCGGGGGTCGTCTTATACGCCGAGTATATCCCCAAAAAACGTCTCGATATGCTGCTAAACGAATTTTCCAACTCGATCCCGTACCAATCACTGGAAGGCTGCTCGGACCGCCTCTCTAACTCAGCCAATCCAAGCAGGCTTTTTATGCATGCAAATTATACATGTTCTGTACCCGAAGCTACACTGTGTTCTAGCAAAAAGCCTGCTCAGATTGGCCAGATTCAGAGAGGCGGTCTATTAAAAAAAAAGAACTGGTGTTGCCTCGGAAGTGGGGGGTAGCGAATATAGGCCTATGTTTTAACTGTAAAATTGGGTCGTCTTATTCGCCGGAAAATACGGTATTTATATATTTGTTAACATCTTCCTCCATGATCACAGTATAAGTTCCAAAACAAGCTCAACATTGCAGTATCAGAGCCTAGCATAGTGCCTGCCACCTGGTAGATACTCAATAAATATTTGTTGAATACAAGGAAGGAAGAGTAGAAATTGTATTAAACTGGAAATCAGGATATCTAACTTCCAGTCCTGGCTTTATCTCTAACACTAGCTATAACCCTTGGGAGAAATTACTTTACATCTTTATAACTTCATATTTTTTTTGTCCATAAGATGATACAGCTGGAGTAAATTATAAGCCTCATCTAGCCATAAACTGTATACTTATAAATATATAATAAATACATCTACAATGCACAGAGGACCGAAGAGTTATGGCACTTTTTCTCCAGGATCACCTATTATCATTTATTAAAATAAGACTTTGTTATTTCCAACAGTACCTAACAACACAGGACAAGTCATAGTTAAGTCTGCACTTGAGCAATGCCACATGTGGACTGAGCAAGGAGAACTCAACATGAACAAAGGAGGTCAAACAAGGTGTGAGAGAGAAGACAGAGTTTATGTGGCAGGTGGAGAGGAAGATGCCTGACATTTCCAACGAGGAGGGAGGAAGGACAAAGGTTTGCTGGACTGTGGGGGGAAACAGTCTAGTGAGGAGTTTCATGCTGACTATTAATTCAAATTAATCTCCACAGTGAAGGCTATCATGAATAAGATCAGCTACGAGCAATAACTCTGAGGTCAACCTCCAGCATCCATGAAAGTATATTGCCCACAAATGCACACAGATCACCGTGTTGCCTTCATCCAGGACAGAATTCCTAAGTCATTTTCACGGCCTTCCAAGCTTCGTTCCATCCTTGCTGATTTGGAAAATGACATTCAAATAGAATTAACTGTAATTTGTATTCACGTAAGAGCTTTCAACTGACATTCTCTAAGTTGTTTAAAGTATGACAGCATTTTACAAAATACACACAGAATTTTAAAACTGCCTATATACATGACACCAATGGAAATTTAATCCTTTCCTTTTTTTGGTAGAATATATCTTGTATGTGGAAAGAATGTTTTTTAGTATGCTAAAGTAAGAAGATAAATTAGACCCTTTTCTATTTGTCCAAATGTCAAATGTGAGTAGTAATAAAAAACCACAATTATGTGAAATTAAACAATTACTAATAAAAAAAAGCTA